TTTTTCTTCTTCCCTTTTCCTTGGCCGCTTACCTCCTTAGGCTGCTGCAGAGGCGCCCTTTTCTGCTGCAGCAAGGGTTTGGGACCCCCTCGTGGCTGTTCTCTGAGCAGTGGCAGGGCACAGCTCCTCACCCCAGGAAGCCCCCACAGCACGGACACGGCCACGGCACCTGGCGGGGACCGGTGCGTTACACAGAGCCCGGCTCTTCCCTGACCAGCTCATTTTATTGAGATGCATATAGGGCATTGCTCGCCGTGTTTATGCATAAGAAAAACCGAAAGTTAAATGGGCTCTGCCTGAGCAGGGACTGGTAATTATAAACAAGCGCTCAGTTCGCTCCCCAGAACCAGGAGGAGTTGCTATTTCTTGGCTTCTAGCACCTATTTTTGAAGTGCATAAACAAAACATGAGACCATGGCTATTAAAATCACACGGCTTTACTTAGGCGTGAGTTGCACAGCACACTTACTTACGGGTTACTCAGTTAAAAACCAGTGTGTTCCTGACATTTTGCTAACACATGCAAAAAGCCACTTTGATTAAAAAAAGGAAAGCTACATTAAAAATAACCAACCAAAAAAAAAAAAAAAGGCCAGCTGTACATTCCTCACTCTCAAAACTCCCCAACATAGCTGGCACTATTAACCAGCCACCCCAGGAGCCAGGTAACTGCTGTACAGCTTGCCTTTCGCCAGTCACAGTAAAAAAACCAAACCAAAAACCAAACTGAAATCAGCCCAGGCTGGCTACCTCCGAATGCCGGCGTCGTACGTATTTGGCATCGCTGCAAGAGGCGGTTTGGTGCTTGCTGTGTCTCCTCTCAGCCATCCCCAGCCAGGCTAGCAAAGCCCAGGCCTGACAGAGGCAGCATCTGAAATGAAATGGATTCAGTTTGGTACCAGCCTTTGGCTGCCATCCCCCATCTACACTTACATCACCTCCACACGTGCTCAGCAGAGTATAGGCTATAGTTAACGTTGTTTAGAAATTTAAAAAAAAAAAAAACCACAAAACACACACACACAAAACCCCCACCTTAAAGATACCGTTACTCTCCTCTAAAGTGCTGGAAATAATTTTTTCCCCTTTGCAATTCCAAATTTCAAGGCGTGGAGTGGGCCCATGGGGAAATCAGCAGTCTGAGCTAACGGGGTGGGGGGGTGGGGAGGGCAGGGTTAAGCTGCAGTTCCTGAATTCCTACCTCTGGGTGCGCAGAAGCTGCTAAGAGCCTCCCCGCATCTCTGGACCCAGCGCCTCACGATCACCCGTGATGGTTTCAGACAGAAAAAAAAACACCCCTCCACGCTAACACTCCTGCCATGCCCTCCTGAAACACTTTTGTCTCTGATGTTTCAGTTGAAGGAAGATGTTCAAGAAATCAGCAAACACGTTTTCTAGCCTGTATTTTACACCTGACTTCACTTTCTTCCCTTTCCCACCATGACCGAGCAAGCAGAATTATTCTTCGAGGGGGAAAAAAATCACCCAACTCCACGCCCCCCCCCCAACCAACCAAATACCCCTTTCCCATCTTCCCAAGTGATTTCGGTAGAGCAGCTGCCCGTGCCAGACTGCTGACGTGCCCTCCGCCCTGCCTGCCGGCCCCCCAGCTCCCTCTGAGGAGCTGCCATCGCTCTCATCACCCTCTTGGGTTTCATCAGCTGGTTCACCCACGCGCTGCTCTTCCCCAACACACATTTGAAGACGATGGGGCATCCATTTTGAGATCGCCCTTGCTTTCTTCTCCTTTTAGGCTTTCCAAACATCAGAGTAAAAGAAATAATAATAAAGCCTGATATATAGTGTTTGCTAATTTAAGTGTTTTATTTTCCTGCGCTTCCCTCCCTCTCCCCCCGCCGCAGAAAGGCTGGCTTGCCCCCCTGCTTACCCACTGAGCAGCCGTCTGCTGCACCCCCCTTGTCCTCCATCCCCTCCTCGCCCCGCGTGGGACCCGCAGCAGCTAGAGCCGACTCGTACAAGTGCTCCGCGTGGGTTTCTAGCTCTTCTGACCGTTTTGCAATCAAGCCCAGCGTGTCTTTCAGAGCTGGAAAACAAAACATGCGACGGAAGTGGCAGTAACATGACAATACAATGTCTGTAAGAGAGTTCCACTCGCCCGGACAGACTTTTGAAGGAAATCGAGTGTTAGAAATCAATAAGCTGATCTTCATCCCATCCAAGCTATGATGCAGAGTTTGGAAGGGGTAGGAAGTGACCTAGGAGGCTCCAGGTTAAGCGTGAAGATACAGAAATAGGGGCTCCCAAAGGAAACCTTTGGGACTGTGTAAGAACGCCCGTCCATAATGCAGCACTCAGCCACTAAAGCCCCTTCGGCGACTGCAGACACAGCCTGCGCCTTCGCCATCCCTCATGCAGGACGCACCACATCACCAGAGCAACTGCCCCACACGTGCCACGCCACCGGCCCGGCTGGGCTATCTCCCCAAACCGGCTGCCAACACCCGCCTCAGGACACACTGAGTGCGAGCAGGGTGTCAAAATCACTTCCTTCTGTGCTGGACAAAAGCGCCTCCTCCCAGCTGCAGGCCAGCAGCATCCCACAGCCCAGCAGGAGCTGGTCATGCTGCCATTAAGATAAAAACCTAAGAAGGGACCCACAAGAGGCAGACACAGACCTGTCACCCGTGACAGAAGGCACGGCACAAGGCAAGGGTCAAGGCACGGTACAGCTAAAAGCACATGGGAATAATTGCTCCAAACCTCCAAGTCACCTCCCCTCCAAGCCTCTGGGCAGCAACGGAGGTGTAAGCCCCTTTCCCATTCCCAGACAGCTGCTGAATGGCAGCACATGTGGGGCCAGGGATTCTGGGGGGCAGACGCTACGCCCAGCATCACCAGCTGCGTCCACAACCAGCCCTGCTCAAGCGCTGCCCCTCACCTGGTGAATTCGATGCCATGCAGTCGAGGAGAGCTTCTCCCCTCTCCAGCACGCTCTCCGTCAGGCTCCGGTGGTCGGCCACATCTTTCCTGAACTCCTGGGAAGGGAAGAGGAGGCGCGCTGCTTAGAAGGGTTTTTCAGAAGAGACGCACCTGTAGCAGGTTGCCTGGGGAGCAGTTTCCCTTGAGCAGGTTCCCAGTGTTCCCAAATTCAGCTTTGCACACCTGATGCACCCCTCATCACCCACCTGCACATGCCAGCAGCGTCTTGCCTCGTGCTGCTGGCTGCCCGCAGCACTGAAGAGGGGGAAGAAAAGCCATCGGCGTTACCTACCAGGCAGCGGTGCAGTGATGCCTTCACGCCCCAGCTGTCGGTGATGTCCGCGATGTGGTACAGCCAACGAATTAGCTCTTCCAGCTGGCAGCAAAACATCTACTTAACAAAGCATAACAGAAGGGGTTACTTATCTATTTCTGCAACAAAGATACGGCAGGGACAGCGATAGGAGAGCTGGTGGTGTTTCAGAAAGCACCTGCTCCCTCCTGCTCTCCTGCTGCGGGGCCAGCGGCGTCCGCCTCCTCTCAGCACACAAATATCCCTAAGCTTGGGAGGCCAAGGGTTGACAGAAAAAAGAGAAAAAGAAAAAAAAAGGCAAAAAGCAAATTAAACCCCTAAACACACCCCAAACCCACTGTGTGGCAGGAATTGAGGGTCACCATGAAATTACTGCCATGGAGAGGTGTTGGAAGCCAGCAGCACCCAGGCTGAAGGACGGGGTTTGCCTCCACCACCTCCCAGCCAAAGAGCCTCCCTCCTCCACACCAGAGCCGCACAATTAATTTGCAGTTGCTTTGCCCCAAGGGTTTGTCTCGTTCAATTAAGTGCTTTCATTTATTTTTAAAGCGTCTCGGTAAGGGATTATTTTTGTGAGATGCTGCATGAAACCCAGGGGCCTCTGCTCTCACCGAAACCAGACTCCAGCCCTGCTCCTGCTCCTCGGGAGTCGGGGTTTTGCTAAAACACTGAGCTGCTTCTCCCTGGCACCGTAATTTGGGGCAACAGATACACCCTAATGCTGACCTGTTCACATCAGGAGTCATTCCCTTACAAGAGGGGGAATGAGGTGCAATGGTGCTTGCAGCTATGTGCATGATAATTACTCTCTTGCAAACAGCCCAGCATCACTTCCAAATTCAGCCTGGGGCTGGGGTAGGGAGGAAGATGGAGGGGAAGGCAGGGAGCAATCCCCGCTGGCCGGTGAGCACAGCACTGGTGGCAGGATGGCTATGAGGCATCACTCACTCAAAAAATAAAAAAATCACAAAATAATCAGGAAACTCTTCAGAGAAACCCCACCAGTTCTGCCTGGCCTTATTACACCCTTACGCAGGACGCAGTCTGAGAAGATGAGTGAGCCTGGGCTCAAGGGCAAGGCTGGCCACGCCACATTGCATAGCCAGAGCGATGGGGCAGGCAGAACTGAGCCCCAGGAAAAGCGAGGCGGGCTCTTGCTCCATCAGAAGAAATTATCTGCTCCGGTGAGCCTCCCTGCATAAATTACTACCAGCTGCCAGGCACCAAACATCATGCAGAAGGGGAAAGCCTTAATTAATTGCGCCATAAATACAGGCACATTTTATACAAGATCTTCCCATTATAAAGTTTATTTCTGGTCTCAGCCTACCTTAACACACTGGGCAAGGGACTCGCTCTGCTGGCTCTTCTTCGGACGCCCCTTGACCCGTGGTTCATTTAGGTACGCCCCATCCAATGTGTCCCTGAGACCAGTTGGTAGATGAAGCCCCTGCAGAGGATCCCTATGGATCTGGCCACATGATTCAGTGTTTTCCCATCTGGGCTTCTGAGAGCTGCAGGGGTGCCACAGCCCAGCATAATCCTCAATATTCCCTCTTTCATCCCTGCCACATGCTTCTCCAAAACTTCGTCGAAACTTGGACGGAAGAGGCTGCCTGCCATCGCTGTGACATGGAAGGTTATGGTGGTCGTGCCCAGGCGTCCTTATAGTTAAGGAAAGATCGGACAAAAACTGAGCCAGCCTTTCCAGCTCCCGCAGTCTCGGAGGCAGGGAGAGAAATTCTTCATCACCCTCCCACCCTTTCCTCAGGGGGAGCACTCGCGTTGTAGGTAAAAACCTATTCACGCTCTTCACCTGCCCTTTGTAGTTTGGAAAGGGGCTCCCTCTGGTACCCCAGCTTCTCCCATCCACAGCAGGGCGGCCAAATGAACCCAGTCCAGCTGACTCCGTCGTTACATCCTTAGGAAAACCTCTAGAAGGACGAAAGGAAGCACTCTTCGCAAAGGATGCTTTTGCAATGGGTAAAGGTTCATAGCACGAGCCAGCTCCTGAGCCGCCTCTTTTTCCAGGCCCTGGGGTGGAGAACCTCTCTGCTGAGGCCATGAACCTCCGACGTCCATTTTCTCCGCTTCCCCGAGCCTGCCCACCTCGGCCGTAGATGCTGGTGGACCTCGACGTGCCCTCAGGGGAAACAGAAAAGCTGTCCAAACCTATTCCTGAGTCATGGAGGAAAGGCTCTGGCATCTTTCCCAGCTTGTATCTTGGCTTCAGTGGATAAGCATAATCCAGCAAGTCCTCATACTCTTTATTGGGGTTCCAGTGGGGCGAGCGACGGTCCGGAGACGGAGGTAATGAATCTGGTATGGCACACGCCCAGTAATCAGCTTGGTAGGACGACATCTCTCTGATGTGCTCCATGGTGGTGCGGTCATCAAGCAGAGGACTGAAGGGCTTGCACGCCTGTGGCACCCTGCCTTCCACCGCACCCCACCGGCAGCGCAGGTCCCGAGCGGCAGTGACCGCAGGAGTGGGTACGTCCCCACCAGCCAGCAAGCTTCGGGACAGCTCTTCGGAGAGGACATTTTCTTCTGAAGACAGAGTGGAGAGGCTGGATGCGGAGTGGCTCCGCAGGGCGCTCTCGGGGCTGGGAGGGGTGCGGGGTCGCAGGAGCTCCGGGGTGGAGGAAAAAGGGGATTGAGCTCCCAGTCTTCGGCTCCGCTGGCCGGCATGGGCATCATGGCAGCCACCAGCAAGGATGCTCTCCCCTGCAGAGCTGCACTGGCTGGGAGGGCTGGACGCCAGCTCCCAACAGCCTGATGCCTTCACCTGCTCGAGGACGTGGGGAAGAAGGAAAGGGAGAGAGAGGGAAAGGGAGAGAGAGGGATGCATAAAATGAAGCACAGCATCCAAACAAAAGGCTCCTTTGTGGCAGGACATGGAGATAAAAGCCCAGCCCTGGACCCGCCGTGAGGAGAGGCTGGGGGGGGGACTCTGTTCTGTCTGCAGGGCGGGAGGCAGCCCCTGCCCCCGCCATGAGGAGAGGCTGGGAGGGGAACTCTGTTCTGTCTGCAGGACGGCATGCAGCTGCCTGGAGCCCGGAGTGGGGCTTGTTTTTAAGGAAAGGCATCCCGAGGGCTTGGGAAGCTGCACAAGTCATTTGGCAGCAAGAGGCTCTTATTTAAGGAGCCCAATCCCGAGCAACTTTCCAGCTCTGCAGCGGCAATTGGGAATGGAGGCCACAGCTCAGGTGTTGGAGCCCAAGCCCTTCCCCACCACACGGCTTAGCCTGGGGCTTGGGTGGGCACACTCTGGCTGGAGGAGGTGGAAAGCCCTTGCTAGGATATCCCAGACAAACAAGTCCCCACCTCGCCTGGAACCTCCCAGTGATGCAGCAACACCTGTATGTACAACCCTCTCACCTGCTGCTCTTCTGGGGAGAGGAACCGGTGGCTGCCATGGCGAGGCACATCACTGCCGGCGGCAGCTCGACAAATTAACGTCTCTGTCTCTGAGAGGCTTGCTCTTCCTCTGGGAAATCTGGATGCAGATGCTGAAGATACTTCTTGGCGGTAGCTCGAGCCTCCCCGGGTAACACCAGTGGCCAAGCGACTGCATCCGCTCATTGCCACACTCTCCGTCCCACGCGGGCAGGGCTTGGCTTCCTCTGCCCCCAAAAGCCGGCGCAGCCTGTCCGCTAGCTCCGGGTAATCCGTCTCCACCTCTGCAGAGTCCCACCTACCATTGCCCTCGGCCTTCCCGCTCAGTGAGGCTTCAGAAAATGATTTTCCCACATCCACAGCCATTGGGACAGGACTTCCACAAGACGATGCCGAGCCTCGGGCTCTCTGAAATACACAACACATGGTAGCGGCAACTCGCCATCCCCCTTCATCTCCTCGCCATGTACGTCACTAGACGTACAAAGAGCATTTTTGAGTCAGACCCCAAAAATCATAAAATTGCATCTCGGTGCACCAAGCGGGGAAAAAGAAAGAGCAAACCGGCCCTTGTGTCTGAGCAGCATTTTCTGGTTTCGAGGACACGACACACAGGGAAAATCTAATTAAAGCTCTGGCCGCTCTGAGAACAAACCTGTGCTTTATACCTTGCTGGCATGGTGCAACTGCCTCCTGAATTAATGGCCGATCTCACAAACACTTTGTGCACCATGAGGCTACTGAGCCAAACTAGGATGTAAAGCATCTATTAGTGTGGCTGGGCCCAGCAGGCCATTGGGGTGGAAAGTTGAGAGGTTTTTAAGAGACAAACTCAAATCCTTGAAATGGAAGCCACCCAGAAGTGAGAAGTACATATAAGAAATTAGAGGGGGAGGTAGGAGGCTGTAACCCCCAAACTTGGCGCTTAGCTCTGCAGCTTCTATCTCAATTCATTAAATTAACTCTTTGTGAAATTAATTAATGGAAATACTTGCTCAACCGATGACACATTTTCAAGCATGCCAGACAGCCAAGCCCATGGCATCCTGCCGTAAAACTTTCTAACACGAGATATTTTTCTCAAAGCCTGAGCTCCACGCACAGAGATGCTCCACCACCACCCTCTTGCTGCCCATGCTGGACTCGGGTGAGGAGCTGCGGCAGGACATCCAACGACCCAAATCAAAGCGACCGAATATAGCACACGAGGGACCTTGTTTTGTGAACACCAGCCACCCACAGCTGAGCACCTCTGCTTGCGTTCACAGAGCTAGCAGGACCCAAAAATACTCTCAACACAAATTACACCTTGCGGGCTGCCCACAGAGCATCAAAACCGGTGCTGCCAAAATCCCCACGCGTAGGCTCGGCCCCGGTCGGTCACAGGCAGGCATCCTCAGAGCCCCGGGAATACCAAAGCCTCTCCCAGCAACTCCAGCCCAAACCAGGGCACCAGCATTAGGAAAATGCCAGCAGAGTGGTTTTGCCGGGACTCACCCAGCCCGCGCCAGGCTAGCGATGGAGAGGCCAGCCAAGGCAGCATCAAGCAGCAAACTCAACTTAAAAATAAATAAATAAATAAATAAGGGAGGAAAGAAAGTACTCCCAAACAATACTTGGAAGTGGGAAGCAAGTTGATACTCACACCCTCCATCAGCTCTTTTGTCACGAACTCTTTTTTATGATCCACCCCTCCGGCGACCGGGGTTTTCCCACGGGCAGAGCCCATGCACGCAAACAAAGAGTAGCGGGGCGACGCGCCGGGTCTCCAGGGGAGACCAAATCCCGGCACAACCGGTGGCGGGCGCCGCAGCTGCCTTCCCCCCCCCCGGGAGCCGGCAGCCTGCGCAAGGGCCGGGCAGCTATATTCAGCACGGCAGCAGCTGCGGAGGAGGCGAGTAAAGCCTGGACTCCCCCAGCCCTCCACGCAAGCCGTGTCCTTCTGCCGACACCTGAGCTCGCCCACTTGATCGCTTAAGTCACTACCAAAGACAACCCTATGCATGCCCTGTCATCCTAAAATCGATGGTATCGCGCTCTTTTTTCCCCACCAAAAAGGTTGTACAGCCGAAGAAAAAGGCACGGTAATTGTAATAAACATAACTGATAAAGCTACCCCCACTAAATTCCCTACATATTATACAACAATGTACCATTGAAATACACGTAGGCATATGTATCTTGTTTAACAGAAGGCAGATTTCTGATGCTAACAGAAAGACTATCCCAAACCGCTCAGGAACCCATGTATGTTTCCCACACAGCATGGGAAATTTCTTCACGTATCCATCATACGGACTTTTAAGTCCAGAGGCCTCCTGAGCCCCTGGAAGGCAGCCCCCATCACCTGCCAGCCTCCATCGGCTCCCATTCCGTCCCTCTGAATTAGCTCTGTTCAGACAGCCAGGTGAGCACCTATTAGCGAATCAAATGCCAAATCCAACTTACAGGTGACTTCAACGCCCAGAAAATCCCCCGAGATATATTTGTTCACTGGCTTTGAAAGCCAGGGCCTTGGCCGCAAGCAGAAACGATGTTCGCTGGTTGGATTCCTCCTCTTCCAACCAAAACCTAATGAGCAAAAAGCTGCCAGGGTGACAAATGGTATGGTACCGTGTATTAAATTCCAGGATCTGTTTCAGACCCACACAGCCTGCTTCAAATTCATCATTTTGGGCTCTTTCCTCCGTGACAAAAAGCAGGTGATTCAGCAGAGAACGCCACTTAATTATCCCACCATGAACGGGCAGCTCACCGGCTGTAATCCCTCCTTGCACGTACTGGCAGCGCCATACGTCCAAAAATGATCCAGTCAATATAAATCTTAACAGAAAGGAGGGTGCTGGACACCCGTCACTTAGCACATAAACGCCTCGACAATCAGTTCTGTTGTTGGGTAGTGATTTTAAAAAATATGTAGAAGAAAAAAAAGCTTAACAAGGCATCAAAGCAGGCTCAATGTGCAGTAATTAATGATCAACCTTGGGACCTCTTTAAGAAGACGCCACGTTAAATTTGAAGTGATGCTGAATGTCATTAAATCCATCAGCTTTAGTGGCTTGAGTCATGTGTCAGTCAGCCCAGTAAAAACAACTACAAAAATATGTATATATAAGCTTGACCTTAAATCTGAAAAGCATGAGTTAAGCAACATTTTTAAAAAGTTATAGGTCACACCCCATCTGTTATTTTTGTAACTGTACGGAGGAGCGCAAAGGCTGAACTATTCTGAACTTTCAAGACTATTTGTTGATCTTATGGACGCAGCACGTGGAGATACACATTTCTACGATGCCATCAGTCTTTAAAAAAAAAGCAAGTGCTGGTTCACAGGTTCATTAAATCTCCAGAAGCTAAGTGGAAGCTAAAGAGAAACCAGGAAAATTGCCAATAGACATGAGTGAGAGTAAATCTGCTTATTTCAGGATTTGTAAGGATATTCCAAGGGCCACCAGAGATTTCGCTGCATTTTCAAAAGTCTCTAACTCGGGCAGCTAATCTCAATTAATTTCAGGGGGAGCCGGCCATCCAACCACACTGAGATGCGAACCAGATGGGGAAGTCGCACACATCCCGTACGCAGAACGATCAGGCAAAAAGTCGTGTTTCAAACCAGGCTGAAAACGCTAATGCCGCTAAGCACAACTCCCAACTACAAGAGCATCTAGAAAACAAGGTTTCTCACCATCTTCCAACAAAACCGCAAAAATTCAGAAGTCCGGTTGCCAGGGACACATCGAGATTAACCCTCACGACGGAAAGAAGCAAGCCCAAATCCTCGGGCAGGACTGACACAGCTATGAAGAGGGACAGACGTACAACCACAGCTTTAGGCACGGCGGAGCTTTCCACTGGCCTTGAAAACACAGGAAAACGGCCAGAAATCCCAGCAACACCCGAGCCCTCAATTGTCTCAGCAGCGATGGGGCAGCACGGGAACGGTACCCGTGCCCTTTTTTTTTTTTTTTAGATAATGGATTGAAGACAGTGGCTGTTTCGTTCATTTCGGCAGGGGAAGGTCCATGGGGATCTCTCAAGGAAAGCGATCCCTGAACTCTTCCACGTCGTCAAAGGAACGCTGCCTGCCAAAGAGCTGCACAACGGGGGCTCTGTCCCCACGAGCGACGTCCCACCGCCCGTGGGCATCACTTGGCTGGTGGGACCAACAAGAGCAGCTGACGCTGATGGAGTTTCCGTCTCCCACCAGCTCTGCTTCTGCTGGGGAGGGGTTTTGTTGTTGTTCTGGGGGAAAAACACGCCTCTTGTGCCTTTCAGGCCTGCGGGATCTGAGTTTTGATTTTTTTTTTTTTTTTTTCTGCTTCTCTTGTATGCTTTCTGCCCGAAAAGCCTTTCCGCAGCTGAAAAACCGGCAGATTAACAAAGACGGTAAGAAATAAAGGCCAGAAAGCCGAGGAGGCACCGCGCCCTGGGCATGCCCTCAACTCCTGCAGACGTGGGTGCAACACGCCGCGGGTAACGGGCTTCCCACGCGAAAGCCGCCC